GAAAATGTAATAGTCACATGGCGCTGTGGGTTAACCCACTGTGTTGCTTGGGCTTGCCGATCGGAAGGTCGCTGGTTCAAATCCCCACGAAGGGGTGAGCTCCCGTTGTTCGGTCCCAGCTCCTTCCAACCAAGAGTTCGAAAGCACATCAAAGTGCAAGTAGATAAATAGGTTCTGCTCCGGCATGGAGGTAAACAGCGTTTCCATGCGCTGCTCTGGTTTCGCCAGAAGTGGCTTAGTCATGCTGGCCACATGACCCAGAAAAACTGCAGAAGTAGACAAACGCCAGCTCCCTCGGCCAGTAAAGCAAGATGAGCGCCGCAACCCCAGAGTCGTTCGCAAATGGACTTAACTGTCAGGGGTCCCTTTACCTTTTATGCAGTGTTACCCAATTCCTTCCTCTATATTCTGTTAAAGTCAAAGTTGCCTAGGACAGCTTAGGTCTGAGTGGAAGAAGAGTGTTTGGGAACAGGCTGCTTGATTGGAACATTGGAAGCTGCCTTATACAGAGTGAGGCTCTTGGCCCATCTAGTTCAATATTGTCCACACTGACTGGCAACAGCTATCCAGGATTTCAGACAGGGATTTCTCCTAGCCCTACCTGGAGATGATGAGGAGTGAACCTGGGACCTTCTGCATGCAATGAACACCCTCTACTCCTGAGCGGGGGCTTAACCTGTTCCTCTTAGTCCTTTCCCAACTCAAAATCACTCTTCCAAATGTGTTTTTTTCAAGAGTGCATGGAAAAGAGGCTTCCACTGCCCAAAAAAGACATGAAAGTATTTTTGTATGCCACAACAGCTGCTAGGATTTTACTAGCCAGTAAATGGAAAACACAAGAATTACCAACGGTAGAAGAATGGCAGATGAAGATGATGGAATTTATGGAGCATGGTGGATCTCACTGGGAGAATCAGGACCAGAAAGAACACAGGATTACCCTATGAAGTGTTGGAATAGAAGTTCTAAAGACTATTTGAATAAATATTCTAACATTAAAGATATGTAATCACTTGAAAGAACCAATCAGGCCTAGGACAAAATTATACCTAAATGTATAAATAAGAAAATGCACTATAAGAAAGGTAAAGAAATTGGAATACGACTGTAATATTGTTTTACGAAATAATGATATTGGAAACTGCTACATTCAAATTAAGAGGAAATTCAGATGGAGGAGATTATGAAGTCCACTAAATGTTTATGAACATGGATTTTAATTAATTAATTGAGTTTCTATCTTCTGTTTAGATATGTTACAGTCTATTCCTTTCCATTTTTCTCTATTTTTCACTTCTATATTGTGTTGTTATTATGTCTGATTGTGCTTGTTCCGTATATCCTCTCTATTAATCTATGTTATATTGAATAACTTAATAAATATTATCTGCTGAGGCGAGAAAAGGAGGCTTCCCCATATTTTCCTTGCGCGGATGAAAAAGAAGATCAGGGCAGGTGGTTTTGAGCTGAGAAAGAATAGGAGAAAGACACACAGGACAATCCTATGCATATTTGAAAAGAAATCCCACAAGTCCGCTTACCCCTCTCAGTGCAGAGGCGTTGCAGGACCACAGAGGCTTCACTGGGGCCCCGACAAGGGAACTGGAACTTCAGTGCCCTTCCTGATGGGCGGTGGGGACATAAACCCCCGCCGCCTATCAGGAACCGGATCCTAGCTTGCACCCTGCTTTGGCGAATGGGGATGCAGGCTGAGACTAGGGCTGTGTCCTGGGGCGGAGCAGGTAGGCTTCTCTTGGGTCCGCCCCTTGGCCATTTAAGCAGCCCACGCCTGGGGCACTACCTGTTTGTTCCTTCACTGGTTTTCCTTACCCACCCACCTTTGGTTTAAGCTGATAGTCAATGACTTTGCTTTGGCTACGGTAGTCGCCATTCTTTATGGGGCTGGGTAGGAATTTGCCCACCAGGCTAATTGGCCCCGACCCGGTGAGACTCCTTAAAGGGAGTGAAAGGTGGGATATCAAATCCAAACTCTTCTTCTTCTTCTTCATTGTCTTGGATGGAGGCGAGGTTGTAGTCTCTGCCTGTCCCTCCAAACACTGGGGTATACCGTTAAAGAAGAGAAGAGAAGAAGAAGAAGAGTTTGGATTTGATATCCTGCTTTATCACTACCCGAAGGAGTCTCAAAGCGGCTAACATTCTCCTTTCCCTTCCTCCCCCACAACAAACACTCTGTGAGGTGACTGGGGCTGAGAGACTTCAAAGAAGTGTGACTAGCCCAAGGTCACCCAGCAGCTGCATGTGGAGAAGCGGGGAATCGAACCCGGTTCACCTGATTACGAGTCTACCGCTTTTAACCACTACACCACACTGGCTCATCTGAGCGGAGTGGCCATGTCTGTGTGCCCAGGGGGACCAGGGCCAAAGGCACTCCCCCAGATGGCAGTCCCTGCAGGGGTCACCCTATTGGATGTAAGTCTTAGGAACCCCCACCCGGATTGACCACGCTTCACTCCCAGCAGGCGGGCTGGAAGTATTTAGATTGCCCCATGCCCAAGCCGAAGCTCTTTCATCTGTATTCAATAAAGTTGTGGCCTGTTTTGACCCCAAACCAGTCTTATTGGTCTCTTATTTATATGGGTTGGGGTATGGGGAGCCTGCTGCCTAGCCCTGCAATGTTCACTGAGGTTTGCTCAGTCACCACCCTAGGGTGCCAGCTTCTCACACCAAGAGGCCACCTGCCCAAGGCTGGCATGGGTGGTTTTTTTAAATTAAAAGAAATTACAGTGGAGGAAAGAATCGGAGGACGCTTTGCAACCTGTAATTGGAGTCTTCCCATCATGTAATAAAAGCTATCTTAATTAATCTGACTGGAGGTTTCCAAACCAATATTGTGTGCTCGATCGCAAATGCCTGCTCCTGGGCCTGGCAAGATTTTGGCATTGGTGGAGGAGCGGGAGGCATTAGTTAAGTCACTAGTGCCGATATCTGTACACTTCCCAGGGCTTGATTCTGAGGATGACTGTTAGCGCAGAAGTCGAGAGCATCAGCTGCACAGAAGTCCTCAAGCCACTTCCTTCTGGGAACCTCCTGTTCTGCTCATCTCAGGGGAGGTTCTTTGGAGTGCCAGGTGTCTGCCGGCTCCTCGGGCTTCAGGAACATTGCTGTAGCAATGTTTCATTCATTTCAGGCAGGGCTGGCCAACCCATGAGGAAAGGTGAGGCAACTGCCTCAGGTGGCAGGATCCACAGGGGCAGCAGGAGTGCCTTGCCTGCTTAGGGAAGAAATGGCGAGGGCTGCCCTCTGGGCTCTGTACCCACCTGCCATGATTCAAAGTGGGCCCATTTCCCCCTCGTGGCAGCCATTGAATCCCACTCCAACCGCTGCATAACGGCAAAGTGGCAAGTCAGAAGCGGGCTTGAGTCTGCAAAGCTTGTGCCACGATGCATTTGTTGGTTGTTGCCTTTATATTTATGGCATGTGTGTGGTGCTGTGGTCTAAATCACTGAGCCTCTTGGGCTTGCCACTCAGAAGGTGGCAGTTCGAATCCCTGCAACAGGGTGAGCTCCTGTTGCTCTGTCCCAGCTCCTGCCAACCTAGCAGCTCAAAAGCACACTAGTGCAAGTAGATAAATAGGTATCACTGCGGCGGGAAGATAAACGGAATTTCCATGTGCTCTGGTTTCCGTCATGGTGTCCTGTTGCGCCAGAAGCGGTTTAGTCCTACTGGCCACATGGCCCAGAAAGCTGTCTGTGGACAAACGCCAGCTTCCTCGGCCTGAAAGCGAGATGAGCGCCGCAACCCCATAGTCACCTTTGAATGGACTTAACCGTCCAGGGGTCCTTTAACATTTTAACTCTTACCTTTATTTAGCATATTGAATTACATATACAGTATGTCATTTTGCTCATTTTCATGATAGACAGCATCGGCCAATAGATGGTGCTGTTGTTGTATTTCAATGCTTCAGCAAGCGATACGATCTTTTGAATATTCAAAAAAAGAAATTTGGCTTTTAAAACATTTGCTCTATATATTTTGCAGGAATATCAATAAGCAGTGTTTTTTTCTTTAAAAAAATGTTTAGGGGTACCCTCTTTTTCCTACTCATATTGAAACACTCCCCTCAATGAGGCCAAACTTAGGTTCACAAAATGTTTAGGGGTATGCATATCCCTGTGTCTCCCCCAGAAAAAAAAAGCATTAACAGTAAGTGTCAATCAGTAAGAACATAAAAAAAACCTTTGTTTTTCTTTTTTATGCTTGCATATATTGTTGGCATCCATCTGTCTTGAGAGTGTACATTTGGGGGTAAAGTCAAACCATTGGAGAGTTAAAGGCTGTGCTCTTTTTTCCCCCAGGGGGTACTCAAAGGTTCGGGAGCCAGAATATTCAACTCACAAGGCGTTTGAGATCCAAGGTATGGCTGTATTACAAGAGAAAAAGGGAAATATCTCTCTAGACTCCCTGAATTAGCTGACTGGAAAGAGCTTCTGAAAGAATCCCATTCCAAATTGAGAGGCACCGTATTTTTTAGCAGAATACACACACACACACACGTGTCAAAATACACAGTTCAGGTCTATTTATTTATTTAGATTTATTTATAACAGTATAGATTGCCTTCTTGTAAAGTATCAGGGCAGTGTCCTTTTTAATGAAGTGCATTTTTTCCAAATCAGAATGTGACATGTTTTTGTGAAAGGCATTTGTAAAGAAGAAAGAAAGAAAGAAAGAAGGAGAGAGAGAGAGAGAGAGAGAGAGAGAGAGAGAGAGAGAAGGAAGGAAGGAAGGAAGGAAGGAAGGAAAGAAAGAAAGAAAGAAAGAAAGAAAGAAAAACTTTCCCAGTAATAAAGACAGATCATTGTTTCCCTCGTGGAAACAATTCTTGGACTTCAACCAAGCAAGCCATAAATACAGATCGCAGTGTAGCAATGTCAGAAACGGCAAACCCTTCTGGCACTCTCTGCAGCGAGTGTGGTTTTGAAATGCTGTTTTGCAGCTATAGCTAGAAGGATGATTCACCCTCCCAGCAGGGCTGTGACTTGCTCTTGCATGTTTCAAGAGGCCAGCTAGCTTTATAATGACCTAATTGCATACAGTGCACCTCCCAGAAGGTTTCTCTGCAAACTTCTGAGCAAAGCAGCTGAGGTGTATATAAAAGAGGAAAGTCCTTTTGGGACGATGGCGACCGGCTCCCACCAGCTGTTCCTCATGGCTGCAGATTTAACACTGGCTTCTGCCCTCTCCTTTGTCCTTTATGTGCTTGGCTGCCTTTTCCTTGCGAGCCTCTCCAGCTTGGTGATCTTCCACTTCTCCTTTGGGCTGCTGAAGAGAGCAAAGAGGAAAGCGAAGAGGAAAATCAGCCTGAAATGGAGAGCAATCCTGAGCCTGGTTTCTCGGAGCACCATTGGAGGGATGCTTGTGAAGATATTAGACCGAGCAAGTTCTGGGTTGCTGGAGGTCCACCGTTCCTCAGAGGGAGAAAGGGCGTCGATGCTGAAGAAGGAAAGCTCCTCAAACACCAGGGTGACACAACTCACAGCGGGTAAGGAAAAGAACCAGGCAGTGATGCAGACCCTCATTGAGAGTCCGCTCTCTCGGGAAGGTATTTCCTGAAGTAGCTTGGGTTGTTTATAATCTCAGGGCCTACTCAATCCCATTGATTTTATAGGACTGCTTCTGGTTGAAGACAACAGTTTGACTGGGCCTAGCTCTCCAGAATCCTCTCTTATTCTTCTCTCTGCCTTGGGTCTTCTTTCTGTTCCATACATAATCTATCATTATGTCCTCCTTGGTGTGCTGATTGAGACAGAGAGTGCTATTGTGCATGGAAGCTGTAACCTGTGCCATATTATATTATGTGTGAAAAGATGTAATCCAAGGCAAGGTGGATCATCATCATCATTATTATTAATTGAATTTATATACCTCCCTATACTCGGGGTCTCAGGACGGTTCACAGAATAAAATCAATATATAAAACCACAAAATACATAATAAAAATAAAAAGAACAACCCAATAAATGGAAAGGTAAAGGGACCCCTGACCATTAGGTCCAGTTGTGGCCGACTCTGGGGTTGCGGTGCTCATCTCGCTTTATTGGCCGAGGAAGCCAGCATACAGCTTCCGGTCATGTGGCCAGCATGACTAAGCCGCTTCTGGCGAACCAGAGCAGCGCATGGAAACGCTGTTTACCTTCCCGCCGGAGCGGTACCTATTTATCTACTTGCACTTTGACATGCTTTCAAACTGCTAGGTTGGCAGGAGCTGGGACCGAGCAAAGGGAGCTCACCCCGTCGCAGGGATTCGAACCACCGACCTTCTAATCGGCAAGTCCTAGACTCTGTGGTTTAACCCACAGCGCCACCCGCGTCCCCAACAACCCAATAGTCCCCCCCAAAAAACCCTATATTTTAAAAGGGCATATGATGTGCATCAGATTAACCAAAGGCCTGGTTAAAAAGGAACGTTTTTGCCTGGTGCCTAAAGGTGTATAATGAAGGCAACCAGGAGAACTTCCCTGAGGAGAGCATTCCACAGATGGGGAGCCACTGCAGAGATGGCCCTTTCTCATGTTGCCACCCTCTGGACCTCTTGAGGAGGCACATGAAGAAGGGCCCCAGATGATGATCTCAGGGTCTGGGTAGGTTCATATGGAAAGAGGCAGTCCTTGAGGTATTGTGGTCCTGAGCTGTGCATGAAAGTACATTGTGTCGCTACTTGGCTGAAGCTAAGCCGGTCTGGGTTTGGTCAGTCCCTCAATTGGAGGGGAGGCCACTTGAGAACCCAAATCTAGTTCCAGAGTGGAATCCCTTGAGTTCCATAATGAAACCCTTTGAGCTCCCTAACAGAATCTCCAGAGTTCCGTGATGGGAGAAAGGTGGGATATTCATGGAGTGAAATTCAAAGATACGTTTCTACAAGTTGGTCTGAATGTCTTCTCTGTCTTACCGCAGAATCTCCTATGCCAAAGCACCACAAACAGATGCCGTTGAGCCTTGCCTTCTCAATCTACCAGGAACCAGATCCTGCAACCTCTCTATAAGCAGAGCTGAACTAGTTTTCAGGCTAGGAGATGTAGCCCACCCTCAGCCTGCAAGTGTAAATTAGACTGTACCACCAACTCTGTATGGGAAGGAGTCCAAAAAAAGAGGAGGAGACAGGCAAAGAAGACCTTAAGCCTGCTCCAAATGGACTGTCCCCTCCTGCCTCCAGGCCATCTTCCATTAACTGCCCTGTAGATAAAGGTGTCGAGAATTCAAGGGAGGCAGGGAAAGCTAACACCAGGTGCCCACACCTGCTCCATTTGGACTGTCCTGACCTCATCATAGGGCCATTTAGCACCACCTGCCCTGAGAGAAGTATTCCAGGAGAAACATAAAGCAAAGAAGGCATCACTCAAGCCCTTGAGAGATGTATTTGAGTCTAGATGTATCAGTGTTTGCCTTCCACTGGAGTGATGTCATGATGTCTAACTATTACTTTAAAGTAATGATTGAGGTTTCGGAAATTTTAATTAAAAAAAATTAATGAATGTATTGCTCTTTAATTGCATTATTGTGTACCACCCGAGTACATTAAGTAGTGAAGCATGGTTTTCAAATTGAACAAATAAATAACTAAAGATGGGGGGATTGCATGCAAAGAAGACCCCAGAACCTGCCCCAGTTGGACTGGCAGGGCTACCTGCCATTAACTGCCCTGTGGGAAGGATCCCAGGGAAAAGGGTGTCAGGGGCTGGACTGAGGAGGAATGGTTGGGACCGCCCCCCTCTTCCTGCACATTCCCCAAAAGAGGAGGACAGTATAGATTTAGAACAGTGGTTTGCAGAAGGTCATAGTTCCTCAGAAGGCTGCAGAGAGGAGAAGCTGGGAAATATTGAGGGAGCACCAGGAAGAAGAAGCACCAGGGGAGAGACAGGTAACAGACCCAGTGTCCCTTGAAAGCATTCCTGACCCCTCACTCCCAGAACCAGGCGTGCCTTGAGAGCAGTGGAACAGAAAGCTCAGAGGCAGAAAGCACAGATCAGCCAGGACAGGGGTGACGTAGAATAGGAGGGACTGAGGGGGGGGTGGGACTTTACTTGGAGCAATGCCATTATCTAAGAGAGACCACATTCCTTCGTCTCTTTCTGTGAATATTGAAGAAACTACAGTCATACCTTGGAAGTCGAACAGAATCTCTTCCAGAAGTCCATTCGACTTCCAAAACATTCAGAAACCAAAGTGCGGCTTCTGATTGGCTGCAGAAAGCTCCTGCAGCCAGTTGGAAGCTGGGGAAGCCCCACTGGACATTCGGCTTCCAAAAAAAAGTTTAAAAAATTGAATACTCACTTCCAGGTTTTGACCGCTTGGGAGCCGAAATGTACGAGTACCAAGATGTTTGACAACCAAGGTACAACTGTACTTGGTAAGAACTCTTCTGGTTTTTCTGCTTCTTGGCACCCCCAGGGAGAGAGATAGGATCCCCTGAAGCCTTGACAAAGAGGTTGGTACAGGAGGATGACATCAGGTGTTCCTATCTTCCAACTGGATTGTCCTTCCATGTGCTCACAGGGCCACCTGCCACCAGCTGCCATATGGGAAGGATCCTGATGACAAGTTAGATTCGGATACTGCCTAGCATGATTTTACGAATGCATTTTAAAGTTACTTGTAAGCCTCTTTGAAGGAATTTGCACCCTGAAAGGTAGGATTCAATATGATGATATGATATGATAAACAAAATAACACGGGGGGAACTTGCTCCAATGCCGGTTGTCAGGTTTATTTAAAGCCCACCCCAAACTGGGCTACAATTTGGTGACTCAGGTTCATTTGCAGTCTTCCTTCCAGGTGCCATGATCAGCACATGATGCCTAATGTGTGTGAGTTGGGGAAACATTAAGACAGCTGCCTTTATGTGCATGTGAAATGCTGTGATCTAGACAAGACAATGTAGGTGCCACGTTTGAGCATTTGAGAAACCCATGGCAGCCATGGCAGCTCTGGGATTCATAAGACCAATTTAGATCATCATTGCAAACACAAAGCTGAGTTTTTAGAACCTTTGAAAAACTGGTTGTAATCTTCAACTGCTTTGAGTCCCTATTTGTCAGCCGGAGAAGAGCACAGAAATCTGTTTGCTCCATGTATTTGCCGCATGACTTCTTGTCCTCCTGTTCATGTCAACGTTCCCATATCCTGGTCCCGTTGTCATTTCAATCTCACCTTGGCTCCTGGTTGTAGGAAATTAAAAGGCTTGGATTTTCTGAATGAGTTCTAATATTTTTTTAAAAAAGAGATTAGAACAGAATGGTTTCCAGGAGTGTTCTCTGATGGATTACAGTAGGAACTGGGTCAAGACCTGCTGAGGATCAGGAAATGTAAGACAGGATCACGGACCATTTGCTGACTTTGACACAAATGTTCAGTGAGTTTGAGGAAATGAGATCAGAATCACAAATGGCACACAGCGTGCTCACTTCGTAGATTAGCGCATCACATGAAAATAGTTTTTCTTACTTATGTAAGATGAGGAAAATCATAAATACCCAAACAATTTCTAGGGGAGCTGAGAAGATGAAACTGCATATTTATAGTAGGATTAATTTTTGCATTTCAAAACGTGGCGTTTCACCATACAGATCCTCACCAAATTTAGCATTGTTTGGGTATGAACAGAGCAGTGATTTTAGCGGTGGTGATGGCAAGGGATCATTCCAGGTTTCCAGAAAATTGAGAATTTTTATTCCGGCTGATTTTCACCTTGTATCATGCTTCTGGACTGCAGAATCAAAACTTGTGAGAAGCTTGTTTTTAATCTTTCAAAAAGATTTAATCTTTCCCTCTTTTTCAAAGCAGGGAAGCAAGATTACTGGTTACAGGGGAGGGAGGGGAAACCTGGAAATGCACTCCTATGAATTGCAGTGATCAAGCAATTTGTATCTACCAGTTGTAGGACCAAAGGGGGCTGCTTCATACTGTATTTACTTGAATCTAATGCTCACCTTTTCTGGCCAACTTACGCTGCAAAAATTAAGGTATGCGTTAGATTCGTTGGCACATTTACATTTACCGGCAAGTACTTTGGGGTTTCAAGGTTCTGAAAACTGAGCTGCACGTTAGATTTGATGGCGCATTGGACCCGAGTAAACGCGGTATTTGTTCATCTAGCCCAATACTGTCTGCCCCAACCCTCCTCCAGCCTGGTGCCTTGAAGATGTTTTAAATTATAACTCCCTCCATCCCTGACCATTGCCCATGCTGCATCCAAAGCATCTGAAGGGCACCAGCTTGCAGAAGGTTGGTATAACTGAAAAGTGGCAGCTCTCCACATCTCAGGCAGCAAGAGAGTCTCAGGCACCTCTGTGGTGTCTGGTGCCCATTCTGGGAGCCCGACAGTAGGTGGCGCTAGAGCTAATGGGGACAAAATTAGAATTTGTTGGCTCTGCCTGCCTCCTGATGAATTCTACAAGAGCTAACACTGAGACTAAGGAGGAGGAAGCTGACAGGCTGGGCCACCATAGGACTGGTTGTCTACAAAGAAGCAGGTGGAAGCTGGCTGAGGAGAGTGCCCCCACCACCCAAATGGGCTAGCTACCTTTTTTTTATGGGAGAAGCCAGGAATTGAACCTAGAACCTTATGTGTACCAAGAAAATGATCCACCTGTGAGCTACAGTCCACCCCATACTGCATATTTCTGACCAGCAGAGCTTGTTTGAACGGAAAAAAATGTTTTAGAAGAGTTGCCATATCTTCCAAGTTATTCGTTTTCCTCTACAGAGGGTTGGAGACTGTGGACAGATTGTAGGTTTTGCAGAGAGTTGCAGGAAGTATTGTAATGCGATACACTTTCTTTGTCCTTGTTGGCCGTGACCTCTGTTCAAACTAGTTTTGCAAGTTTCCCCGGAGTGTGTCAAAATCTCGCCCCCAGGAATGTGGCCGGTGCTGTTTGCGACAGAAGTGTCTACAGTTTGCTGCGACCTCAAGCAGAACCCCCGCCGCCACTTTGCATCCTGTTTGCTGCCGCTGTTAGGAAAGGGTTAGATTTCTCTTGCTAAAGGTCTGAACACTTGCAGAGAGCTGTTGAAAGTACTCCGAGGCCCACAGGTTGTCCACCTGTACTGTTTGGAAATAATTGTCAGGATACAGCTGGTGAAACAAGGGTTCACCACCCACCTATAATTTCAGGCCAGATTTCCTGATGCAAATCAGACCAAGTTCAATAGCACACACCATGTTTTCGCACCAATTCTGGGTCCAGTTGTCTTTTCAACATTCAACTTTTGAATGCCTCTTTAGCATGTCTGAGAGATGAGCTCTTCTCTGTAATTCACCTCCTCCTCCCTCCACTTTCCCCCCTCCTTTGCTCTTTTCTGTTTGAGCATTTTCACCATGATGCTTGCACTGAAAATGTATTTCCTATGCATTGACCCAGTTGCATAGCAAATCAAAGTCTTAATTTACGGGGCGGGTAGAGAGAAAGTGTTCTGAACTGATACTCTTTGATCATTTGGTTTTTTGACATTCGGGGTCAGGGGACTAGAATTTGCTTGCAAAAGACTGACTGAATATATTCGACATCAGGTAATAAAATCCTGATTTCTGCCAGCAACTCGTTGAAAAGTTCTGATGAAAGAAAGACTTTGGAAGCAGTCACACATAAAACTGTCACACACAAATGTTGTGTTAGTCTTTAAGGTGTGACAAATCTCTTAATGTTTGCAGTAACTGACTAACATGGGTACCCTTCTAGTGTGGGTGGCGCTGTGGTCTAAACCACTGAGCCTCTTGGGCTTGCTGATCAAAAGGCTGGTGGTTCGAATCCCCATTACGGGGTGAGCTCCTGTCGCTCTGTCCCAGCTCCTGCCAACCTAGCAGTTCGAAAGCACACCAGTGCAAGTAGATAAATAGGTACCACTGCGGCGGGAAGGTAAACGGCGTTTCCGTGTGCTCTGGTTTCTATCACAGTGTTCTGTTGTGCCAGAAGCGGTTTAGTCCTGCTGGCCACATGACCCGGAAAGCTGTCTGTGAACAAGCGCCAGCTCCCTCGGCCTGAAAGCGAGATGAGCGCCACAACCCCATAGTTGCCTTTGACTGGACTTAACCGCCCAGGGATCCTTTACCTTTTTACCTTACCTTCTAGCATATAATGCCTTATACTAAGTCAGAAAAGCCACAAAGTCAATGGGTCCTCTACCACTTTCTAATTTTGATGCATTTAGGAACTGGTTCCTGCACCGACACTTGCATAGAACAATAAATCTAATTTGGGGTAGTTCTGCAGTTAAATTACTTTGGATGATTTACATAAAGATATATATCTATATATATATTTAAATGAACACTTCACGGTCCAGAGGGTTATTTTCCCCTGCCAGCCAGGAGCTGGTTTCGATGAAGCAATGAAACGAGATACAATCCAGAGATTTTGTCGACAACTCCGCAATACATTAACAGCTTCTCTATACAGTCTTCTCAGCTTCACAAGGAAATTAGCATTTTCGGTCTATTAAGTATTTTTTTGGCTACCTCCCAAGTCTATTATAGATCTGTGAAAGGTAAACTGCAGTTTCCATGATTCTTTTGGGGAGGTCTTTAATGCATCATGTGGATGCAGCCAGTGACGTAAGTGAAATAGGCTGCATCCACACAATGCATTAAAGACTTACCCAAAATAAAAGAATCATGGAAACTGCAGTTTACCTTTCACAGATCTATAATTCCCAGCAGCTTTAACAAACTACAGTCCTCTGGTATGTAGGGTGTGTACTCAGCATTCATACTACAGGACCATGATTACCTCTTTTATTGTTTGCAGGGCTTATTGACTTTAGCTGCCAGTTTTGTGCAATTAGACCCTCTGCTTTGTGTTTGCATATTATACCAAGCCATGTCATTGGTCCATTAGCCAAATGACAACAAGCACAAGAATCCTGACCTCCGTTGACTCGGGCAACCCTATCCAGGCATCTCTTTAATATTTATCCCATGGTCAATGGTGCCACAAGTAACCTATCTCCAGTGCCTCGAAAGATTCCATCAATGGTGTCTCCGAAAAATTTTACACATCACTTGGGAAGACAGGCAAACTGGAAGAGGCAAAGATCACCAGTGTTGAAGCAATGATTCTTCAACATCAACTTCGTTGGACTGGTCATGTTGTGCGGATGCCTGATTATCATCTTCCAAAGCAACTACTCTATTCCGAAATTAAAAATGGAAATCGTAATGCTGGTGGTCAACAAAAGAGGTTTAAAGACTGTCTCAAGGCAAATCTTTAAAAATGTAGCATAAACACTGACACTGGGAAACACTGGCCTGCGAGCGCTCCAGTTGGAGAACAGCCTTGACCAAAGGTGTCATGGGTTTTGAAGACACTTGAACTCAGGACGCAAGGGAGAAACGGGCTAAGAGGAAGGCACGCTTGGCAAATCCACACCATGACCAACTCCTGCCTGGAAACCAATATCCCACTGTGGAAGGACGTGTGGATTCAGAACTGGCCTCCACAGTCACTTACAGACTCATTGTTAAAACCGTGTTTATGGAAGACAATCTTACTCGGCTACGAATGATCGCCAAAGAAGAAGAAGAATCCACTCTTAGAGTCCCCAGCTCACTTCCCCTCTTTATTGCACATTTGGTAGTATCAGAAGGGAAGCGTACTCTTGTATTTGTAATTAGCCATTTCCAGGACTGGACTCGGGGGCCAGCATCATTTGGAACCTGTTGAGGCTGGTGCCCTAGTAGAAGGTACCCACTGCCAATCCCTGGAGTCTCCTGCCCCTGATGCTCCCCTTCTTTTCTGTGGCTGCCTGTTCACTTGCCCCATGAATACCCAACCTTGTGCCCATCAGATGCTATTGGACTCCTACTCCCATCATCCCTGGCCATTGGCCATGCTGGTTGTTGTAGTCCAACAAAATCTGGAGGATGCTACATTGGCTTCCACTGGCCTACCTTCTCTGAGTGAGGAAGCAGGGGGAAGAGAAGTCCTTTTCACACCCCTTGCCTCTCTGTCTCTTACTCTAGGAGGTGGTCCGGAGTAGGCACAGCTGCAGAGGCCAATGAACACATGGTGGCAACAGAAAAGAAGAGGAAGAGAATGCATTCCTTATGGGTTGGAGTTCTTCCCCAAACCTAGAACTGCTCTGCTTCTTCTACATGCCATTATCCCTCTTGCTCACTCTTCCAGGCCTAAATACCTAGAGTGCTCTTTTTTTGCTTCAATTCCTCTGAAGTCACCCACTCAGGAAAAAGTCACCTCTCAGTCTCAAGTATTCCTACTTCATGATAGTTTATTTCAGGGATGGGGAACCTGATGCCTCCAACTCCCATCAGCCCTAGCAAGCATGGCCAATGATGGGACTTGTAGTCAAGGAATACCTTGAGGTCCATGGTTTTCCCCACCCCTGGTCCACGTCCCTAATTCAGGAGTCATTCCTCCAGCCACCACTCACTCAATCCTTCTGAATGAGACTCAACGAGACTGTCTGGACTTTAAGATCAGCTTCTAGTGCCCCTCTCTTTGATCTGTTGATACCAGTTGACAGCTTGACAGATACCAAGAGACAGGAATTTTTCTGGGGTGGCTCTGAATTTCCTCCCATGCCTGGCTCCATCACTGTTGCTTTTTGCAAAAGAAACCTTAAGGCCCCCTTTTTTTTTTGCTGAATCCGCCTTTTGTAAATTGCTGTCCCATGTGATAACAGTTATGCTGCTCATTTTTAAGGGGAGTATAACGCAAGTTTAATTTGATGGTTTTATACTGCATGTTGTTGCTTCTCTAGGGCATTGTGCTTGTGAGGGCAACAGTTTAGAAATCTTTTATGAAATAAAGTATCGGTTGCCGTCCTGCCTGGAAGCTAGATGTGAAACAGACCAAGTTGCAAAAGCATCCCTTCCAACAGGTGTGGGAGAGCTATTCTCTATATCTAAAATCTGGGATGCAGCTTTTGTCACACCTGACACGTCAGCCTAACAGAAGCTGGGGGGGGGTGCATAGCAACCGAGATGTGACTGCTTTGTCTCCGTACACTTAAGACAATTACAAACGCTGCTCAGATAGTGTGGATTTTTTAATTGCAGCCTGATGCTCCAACCCGGCTTTTAATTATAAATCTCTGCCCTAGAACCGGTTATTAATTGCAGTGCTCAATCTAAGAAGATGTGAAGTTGCTGCACTAGTATTGTTGCATCCTCAAAAGCACAGGCCCTCCCAGCAACTTTTTAGAAACCCAAACTTCTATAGCAGAGATAGGGAACATGTGGCTCTCATATCTTGTCAGTCTCCAAGTGCTCCTCAGGCCCAGCCAGCTCGGTTGCCAAGCACAGATGATGGGAATTATAGCTCACTGACATCTAGAGAACCACATTTTCCCATCCCCTGCCCTATTGAAACAGAAGCATTTATTTATAATTGAAGGCAGCCATCTTGACACTGCATTCATATGTTGCAGAATAGGAGGTGAAGTGGTTTTTAAGAGCTTCATTTCAGAAAAGGTTTGCTAGTGTGAAGTCCGGGCTACCACTTTAGAAGTTCATGGGAGACCCTGAAAACTGTTTTACAGTGGTGCCCCGCAAGACGAATGCCTCGCAAGACGAAAAACTCGCTAGACGAAAGGGTTTTGCGTTTTTTGAGTCGTTCTGCAAGACGAAATTCCCTATGGGCTTGCTTCGCAAGACGAAACGTCTTGTGAGTTCTTGCGAGTTTGTTTCCTTTTTCTTAAAGCCTCTAAGCCGTTAATAGCCGCTAAGCCGCTAAGCCGTTAATAGCCGCTAAGCCGCTAATAGTCGCTAAGCCACTAATAGCCGTGCTTCGCAAGACGAAAAAACCACAAGAAGAAGAGACTCGCGGAACGGATTAATTTCGTCTTGCGAGGCACCTCTGTATTCTAAAGTTATGCAGGTACAGTATTTCTTCTAAGAAAGAACTCAAGGGGGTACCAGGTCAGTCTCCCATCCATGTACCAACCAGACCCAAACCAGCTCAGCTTCAGCAAGGTTCCCATATTGTGTGCTGCCAGACCATCCTTAGGATGAACACTCCAGTTTCATGGATTCGCTGCAACTGATAGGTTTCCGCTGCCCCAGAGAGTAAACAGGAATGCCTTTCTTTCACAACAGTCAGTTCCTGTCTGTTTGGGGATCTGGCATTTTCACCACACATTGACTCCTCCTTTGGGCCTTCATGCTGAACTCGGGAACCATAATGGTCTGAATTAGACCCATTGCATGTTGGAAGATGTGCGTTCCTATCCTTGATTGCTAGAATGTGTAGACATCCCATGAATGTGAATGTTGGGAGACTCATAACACATATAGTGAAACTTGTTCCTGCAGGACTCTACAATTCTATGATTCTGTGATCTAGTAGACTATTAAAAAAAAATTTATAATATTTTTAAGCTAACATTTGTCAACCCTGAATGGGGCTTACCGGGTGTTTATGGGATGCAGGTGGTGCTGTGGTCCAAACCATTGAGCCTCTTGGGTTTGCCAATCAGAAGGTCAGCAGTTTAAATCCCCATGACTGGGTGAGCTCCCATTGCTCTGTCCCAGCTTCTGCCAACCTAGCAGTTCGAAATCACACTAGTGCAAGTAGATAAATAGGTACCGCTGCGGCAGTAAGGTAAATGGTGTTTCCGTGCACTCTGGTTTCCGTCATGGTGTTTGGTTGCACCAGAAGTGGTTTACTCATGCTAGTCAGAAAGCTGTCTGTGGACAAATGCCGGCTCCCTCAGCCTAAAAGCGAGATGAGCGCCTCAACCCCTTAGTCACCTTTGACTAGACTGAACCGTCCGGGGGTCCTTCATGTTTACCTTTATGCTTGGCTGGGGCTAGTGGGAGCTGTGTTCAAAACATCTGGAGGGCACTAGGTTGGTGAAGGCTGATATAAAATGTCTCATCAGAGGAAGATTTAAGTTCCAGGTACATGAGGGATGCAGGTGGCGCTGTGGGTTAAACCACAGAGCCTAGGACTTGCCAATCAGAAGGTTGGCAGTTCGAATCCCCGTGACGGGGTGAGCTCCCGTTGCTCGGTCCCTGCTCCTGCCAACCTAGCAGTTCAAAAGCACGTCAAAGTGCAAGTAGATAAATAGGTACCGCTCTGGCGGGAAGGTAAACGGCATTTCCATGCACTGCTCTGGTTCTCCAGAAGTGGCTTAGTCATGCTGGCCACATGACCTGGAAGCTGTACACCAGCTCCCTTGGCCTATAGAGCGAGATGAGCGCCGCAACCCTAGAGTCGGTCACAACTGGACCTAATGGTCAGGGGTCCCTTTACCTTTACCTTACATGAACCAAAAGCACTGATGTCGGAGCTTACTTCCTAAGCTTATTTTTCCCACTGCCACTTGAAAGGCTCAAGACAATTTCTATAGCAGAGGTGTTTAAACTGTTTAACAAACCACCAAAAACATTTTGTACTGTTTGCCGTACACCAGGTTGATAAATGAACACTTATACCTACAACCACATGAATGCTCACCTGGGAGTAAGCACCAACAAGCACAATGAGACTTACTGTAGTGTAAAAGTGGGTAAATATGAGCTGCAAGCCAGGCCTCTGAGGAAGTAACCAGATGGATTAAGTTAAACAGGAGGATAATGAACAACCGTTCAAACAGCAAACACAATAAATAAAGGGAAACAAACACAGCCAATTCTATCCAGTCACTGTTCCTCCTTCACGGGCAAATAAGAACCCTCATATTTAAAGTTAAGCCTGAAATCTGAGGTCCCAACCAAAGAAGAATGGCAACATAAGTTGACAGAATATGCACAGCTTGCAGACTTAACATGTAGAATAAGAGAACAAGAAGAACATATGTTTAGAGAAGATTGGAAAACGTTTCTGGAATATATGGGAAATAACTGTGTATAGCTGAAAACACTGTTTTCAGATAAATTGATAAATACTGATAAATTGATAAATTGATAAATTGAACGATGTAAATAAAGTTTTGATGGATGTAATAATGGAAAACTGAATGGTATAGTTTATGTAAAATATGCAGGGATATGTAAAATGAACCATGGAAAGTCACTGATGTAAAAATGAGTACTTTAAATTGTAAAACAGAAAATTTAATAAAAATTGTATTTCTAAAGTTAAGCATGAAATCCGGCAGTGATTCCATCAGGACTTGGCCTTGCCCCCAAACTCACAAGGTTCCCAAATGCACCAGGCTGACTTAGCATCTTTTATAGTAAATGAAGTACCTACATATTCCCATTTAAAGTCCCACCACCAGCAGAGGAACAGTTTGAAGTCTGTACCCAGAAGGGAATGAGTTATGTTATGATGTAGCTTAAAAGTTTGTATAATCAATAATATTTTAAATTTGGCAGGAATGCCTCGAGTACTGAAGAATCCTGCTGTCATGTACCAGGAGGAGGAGGCAGAGACACGAAATGAATATGAAGGGACGTCATCTCCTAAGCAGAAGAATGGTATTTTGACACCTGGTAAGAGGAGAGTTAAGGTTCAGCCTTACAAAATGTGGTGGGGTATACAGGGGCTCGTTTGAGTAGACATTTTGTTCCTCCAAATGGTTGCAACCCAATCCTTTGTATGCCCCACTCCCAAAACACCTGATCAAATTGTACTCACTTCCAAGCAGTCCTATTTTTGTAGAAAAAGAGGTGCCAGAACTCACCATGAACACCTCCCTTGTTCTCCTAGAATGGCAATGGCAATCACCTGAGAAGTGCCAGAACCAACAAGTTTCAGTTGGAAAAAAGTCATGCTTCCAAGTCACTTCAGAGGATACGGAGAGTTGTTAAGAGACTCCCATTTCCCCGTGGAGTTACAATTCTCTCTCTCAAATTTATTTATTTGTGTTTTTTTCAAAGTAAAATTTTACAATCACATATCCAACATAAAAACAAGATTTCCAAAGAATCTCCTGGACTTCCCTCCTCCTCTTTGTGGGTCCTATTGTTAGTCCTTTCCTCCTGCATCTTTCATAATAATCCAAATCTTTTACATCTCCATTAGGTCCAAAATTCACCATTAAACTACAAGTGGCATTCCAACCCCACTAACAATTTTAGCTGTTTAGAATGATTTTTAAGGAAGATGATAAATTTTCCCCATTCCTTATTAAAATGTTGGTCTTCCTGATTTCTGATTCTTCCAGTCATTTGTGCCATTTCGGCATACTCCATCAACTTGATCTGCCATTCTTCTCTGGTTAGGACTTTATATTATTTCCATCTCTGGGCTAGTAGCAGTAGTCGCATACATAAATAGTCTTCTTGGGAGTTACAATTCTCAGAGTGGTTTAACGATCAATTGCTCTTCATGGGGAACTCTGGGAAACAGGGGTGCCAATTTGAATAAAATATTGGGGTGGGGGCAGGAAAGCCCCACCCTGCATAATCGATCACATGACATGGTGTGCAGACACCATTTGACTAGCAGTGCCCATTGACTTTGGAGGAGGGCTGGCCCCCTCAAATATTTCCTTGGGGTAGTCAAAGACCCTTCGGCCCCTAGGAGTTGGCTCCTATGATGGGAACTGTAGCTCTGCGAGGGGAATTCACTCTTCTTGATAACTCTCAGCACCCTTAACAAACCTCAGCTCTCATAATTTCCTTGGGGAAGCCATGTTTAAAGTGTTATCATAGTCAGTGCTTTTTTTCTTAAAAAAAAAAATTAGGGCTACTCTCAATTTTCTACTCATATTGAAATACTGCCCCTCAATGAGGCCAAACTTAGATTCACAAAATGTTTAGGAGTATGCGTACCCCTGTGTACCCCCAGAAAAAAGCATTGATCGTAGTGCTTCAAATGTATGGGGCATATATGGCCAAAATCTTGTAGCCATTTATTGACTCAGGCTTGGTTTGTCTGATATTGTCCAACACTTTCTCCTTCGTAAACGGAGTCTTTCCCCATTTCTCCCTTTCTGCTGAATACTCACCTTTTTGGCCAAGTTATTTTAGCCTACTGTAAACCCAGCTGTCTTATGAAACCCTTTGCCAGTTTTCCTTCCCACCATTCCCTACTCCCGGCCGCCCAAAATTGGGCCAGGTGTTGAGATGTATGGAGAATATGACATTATTTGCTGTCCAGGACTGTGAGGGAAATGACTGAGGTGACACACAACGCTAACGAGGGCATTACCTTAGAGCAGACGTATGTTTTCTTCTTTTTCTCTCTTTTGCAGCTTTCTTTATTGCCCTCATTTGGCTTCCAGTGAAAATTACATGCCCATGTCTGAGGAAGAGAGGTTGCCTGAGGCGACTGTGTACATTTGTGTGGGGGAAAACGACAAGATTTGCTCTGGGACTGAGTGAAAAGAATTGAAGGGAAGATGACAAAGAGTGCTTGGTCTGGGCACCACCTTAGAACTGTCCATTTTGAATACTATTATAATTATTTTGCAGCTGTCATCATTGGCCTCCTTTGGACTCCAGTGACCACTGTGTTCTCACGTCTGAAGAACTGAAGTCCCCAGATGCTTACAACCCTCTCGAAATCTCAAGAGTGATGGGTGAAGCTGACTAGGCCTGTAACACAGAGAGACTGGTGGAGCTTGCTCAGCTTATGATGTGCAGATGCAGAATTTGAATGTGTGGAAACCATCCGCTGCTAATAGGGATGAGGAGAAAATTGCCGCAATTTGCATTTTCACCTGCAATTCCCGGAAAAAAATGCAGCTCTCCTCTGAAATTATTTTATATTTATATATATTAATTTTATTAGTTTTCCAAATTATAACAAATTGATCCAAATTATTAAGATTTAATACATTTTTTTGAACATAGTTTTTCTGCTCCTGTTACAATCATATGTCCTGATGTTGCCACTTCATTCTTCTTCTTTAATCACCTTCTCATCCGTCTGTTAATTTTAATCCATTTTCAAAGCTGACCTTTCTTGTTCCCTTGCAATCAGCACCCTTGTTGTTTCGCAAATATATAGATATCGATTTCACGCGTGTAGTCCTTCTAGCACTTTGTTCTCAAACCTGGAGTGTAGAGATAATTTATTGCCACCGTCCTTTGTCCATTCACATTCCACTCCTTTGAAAACATTCCTTCAGTTGTTCAAGGAGTTGCTGGGCTATAAATAACTTCCCAACAAGATGCCTGCTCCGCCATTTATCTCTGCCATTAAAATTCTGAGGATTATTTTTCTCGGTCCGCAGTTAAAAAACAAAGTCACATATATAAACTCCTGCCAGATGTAATTAGCAGTCCTTCGTCTTGCCAAATTCCTCTCTCCTCCACTCCTGGTCCAGTCCAAAGATGATTTGAATTGAGTCTATTTCATCTCGGTCGAAATTCACACTTCTCCAAATGTTGTGATGCTGTCCCACAGTGAAATAAATTGTGTATGGAGATGTGTAGGTTGGGGGAAGGTGTACATAAAAATGCAGCTGTGAAAATAAAATATCAAATGCATATAGGGGGAATTGCTTGCCAAAATGCCGATATTAGTCTGAATGCCGTACAAAATGGTGTCTACTGAGAGAAAAGCGCTGACGAATTTACACGAGGACATTTTTTTAAGGAAATGCAAACTGGTGAAGAAATGTGACGAACTGAATTTTCGATCAGAAAAACGGCAGACAGAGAGAAACTGAAATTGACAAGGTTCATCCCTCCGTAATTCCAAAGGGAGAAACACAGACTAGATTTACAACATAAATGGACCATTTATGTGCTACCATATTTAGCTGAGTTGCTTTTTACATAGCACACAATTGCTGGGCAACATGAACATTGTAAGTGAATATTAATGTTGTTTCTGCAGTATGCAATTGATTACAGCTTCTTTTCTAACCATGTTTGCACATACCTCTAGGCTTAATGCGACAATAATTCGAGAGTAGATCTGAATTGGGCAGAAATTAGACTTGTAATGGATTTCACATGGATGAACACCACCTTGGAAACCTCTTCACCTCTTCAGATATGCAAAAGAAACCTTAATTATTTGGTAGGTTTAAAAATATGAGGGTCAGGGAAAGGATATGTCGACTCCTGTTTTCAGAAAAAAGGAAAAACCCTATACGCTGCAATAAATCACAGGCTTAGCCCAATGACAAAGCTTTATGAATTAGATGTGGATGGAAAGGCAATACCCTGATTTCATTAAGAGCCTATAATGCATTTGCTAAATCTGATTTGTGCGAAGAGATGCCAGCAATTTTACCTGCATGGATATAGCTGAGGTTGGACAGCTTTGCATGCTTAAGTTACTTAAATGTGCCCATATAGTTTTGTAGCTGTGTTGCAATTTTAATTTTTGTCGTGAGCTGCCTCAAGTGTATGACGAGGTGGTATCTAGACGCTTCAAGGAGAAAGAAGGAGACTACGAGAAGGGAGGCATTTTGTCATGTCAGCACTTAGCCGCTTTTTGTGCTATTCATTATTTAGCAGCCAGGCTTTTTGGATGCCTGTCAAACATTGCTTTGCAATCCTGGAAAGAATTCGGTTTCAAACCTCAGTGGATCATTTCAGATGATGAAGAAAAGCCTTGGATTTTATTTTTAGCACTTTGGAGCACATCAAGATTCAGTGGCAGACCAACCTTTCACCAGTCCTGGTGGATCAGACTGAAAGGTCCATTTGATTCAGCGTCCCATTCTCTCTCTCTCTCTTTTTAATGATTTTTATTGAAGTTTCAAAACACCAACACCAACCAACAAAAACATCACGTCTTATTACACATATCCTGCTTTATGCTCCATAGAGCCATTGACTTCCGTCCTTCCCTTCCACCAGTTTTCCTATTCCAATCTATAATTCACAGTTTATTTAATTAAAAATTATACCATGACATAAGATTTACTTCAATCCTGCCAACATTTTCATATTTGTACAGGTCTCACTTATATAAACCATAAATTTACTCCATTCTTTTTGGTACTTTGTCTCCTCCTGATTCCAAATTCTGTGTGTCAATTTAGCCATTTCAGCGTATTCAACCAGTTTTATCTGCCATTCTCTTATCGTCGGCATCTCCTGTAACTTCCACTTTTGGGCTATCAAAACTCTAGCTGCTGTTGTTGCATACAGATATAGTCTTTGGTCTATCTTCTTAATATCTTCTCCCACCAAGACTAGCAAAAATTCTTCCAGCTTTTTGGGAAAACTATACTTAAACATCTTTTTAAACTCATTATAAACCGATAAAACTCTTTTATTTTATTGCATGACCACCACATATGATAGAAGTCGCCGTCCTTTTCCTTGCATTTCCAACAAGTTTTACTACCGTATTTTTCGCTCTATAAGACGCACCAGACCACAAGACGCACCTAGTTTTTGGAGGAGGAAAACAAGAAAAAAAGTATTCTGAATCTCAGAAGCCGGAACAGCAAGAGGGATCGCTATGCAGTGAAAGCAGCAATCCCTCTTGCTGTTCTGGCTTCTGTGATAGCTGCGCAGCCTGCATTCGCTCCATAAGACGCACACACATTTCCCCTTACTTTTTAGGAGGGAAAAAGTGAGTCTTATGGAGCAAAAAATACGGTACTTGTCCTATACATTTTTGCCAGTTTGGTGGGAGTGAAGTACCAACGATAGACCCATTCTCATAGTGGCCAATCAGATGCCTACGAGATGCTCGGAAGAAAGACCTGACTCTTCCCCACTTAAGTTTCTCAGAAAGTGGTATTCAGTGGCATGGACCTCTCATGCTGGATATAATAAATTGCCACCATCAATATAGTCACTGGTGGCTTCATCCTTGAGCATGCACTGTATTTGTGTCAAATTTGGTGTATGCAATATTTTGGGAGTGAGGGGGGCCAAGGTAGTTTTATGGGCAACTGCATGATTTGAGTAAAACACAGAAAGTGTGGAGCAAGCATGTGGGTTGGCATCTATCTGTCTTGGGAGACCATAGGAGAGTGCACCTTCAGGGATGAAATCAAACCATTACAGAGTTACAGCGCCTGCTGGGGCTGAAAAGACCAACAGGGGAGAGAAATGTTTTGTTGCAGCTGGGGCAGATGAAGGTGTCTGGTTGTGCTGATGCAAGTGTAAGGTAAAGGTTAAGGTACCCCTAACCGTTAGGTCCAGTCGCGAACGACTCTGGGGTCCATCTCGCTTTACAGGCCAAGGGAGCCAGCGTTTGTCCACAGCTTCCAGGTCATGTGGCCAGCATGACTAGGCCGCTTCTGGCGAACCAGAGCAGTGCACGGAAACGGCGTTTACCTTCCCGCTGGAGTGGTACCTATTTATCTACTTGCACTCTGATGTGCTTTCGAACTGCTAGGTTGGCAGGATGCAAGTGTACCATGTTGTTTATTTTTTTCTGGGCTTCTCCCAGCTGTCATTCCTCCTCTGGTCGCTGCTCTGAACGCAGAACCTGACTGTTTCCAGGCTCTGCGGCCATCTGCAAGGGATTCCCACACTGCAGGGTTATTGTTATTTATTAAATTTGCATACCGCCCGATACCCGCAGGCCTCAGGATAAAAACACAAAATAAAAACACAAAAGACATAATCAAAATAAAAACAAGAACAACCCAACAATGCCCCCTCCCCCCCCAAAAAAAAATCATTTTAGAAGGTGGGTAAAAGAGCCCTGGACGGTTACATCCCGTCAAAGGCAACTATGGGGTTGCGGCACTCATCTCGCTTTCAGGCCAAGGCAGCCGGCGTTTATCCACAGACATCTTTCCGCGTCATGTGTCCAGCATGACTAAACTGCTTCTGGTGCAACGGGACAACGGGACAGAAGCCAGAGTGCATGGAAACACCGTTTACCTTCCCACCACAACTGTACCTATTTATCTACTTGCACTGGCGTGCTTCCGAACTGCTAGGTTGGCAGGAGCTGGGAGAGAGAAACGGGAGCTCACCCTGTCATGGGGATTCAAACCGCTGACCTTCCGACTGGCAAGCGCAAGAGGTTTAGACCACAGTACCACCTGCATCCCTATTTTAAAAGGGCATTGAATTTCAGACAACCAAAGGCCTGGTTAAAGAAGAATGTGTTTTTGACTGGCAACTAAAGGTATATAATGAAGGAGCCAGGCAAACCTCCTTGGGTTGATGTTACCAACCTTTATGTCTCTGTTAACTCAAAGTTGGTCTACCAACAGGCCCGTGCCTGAAGTCTGCTTCTTGTATAGCACACGCTTGGGGATCCTGACACCTTCCATTCTGTGGACATGACCAAGCAAACGTAGATGTCGCTGAGACAGGAGTGCACACATGCTGGGAATGTGGGCTTTGGAAAACACGTCTTTGTTTGAAACACAGTGCGGGTGTCGTTCCTGATAGATGTAAGTTGTTTCTCACCAAAGCGTGAGAGAAGAATGGCACATGAACATTTTGCTTCATATCTCAGGTTCTATAAGAAACTGTGTTTTTCTCCTAAATAAAGGTAAAGGGGACCCCTGACCATTAGGTCCAGTCATGACCGACTCTGTGGTTGTGGCGCTCATCTCACTTTATTGGCAGAGGGAGCCTGTGTACAGCTTCCTGGTCATGTGGCCAGCATGACTAAGCCGCTTCTGGCGAACCAGAGCAGTGCACGGAAATGCCGTTTACCTTCCCGCTGGAGTGGTACCTATTTATCTACTTGCACTTTGACGTGCTTTCAAACTGCTAGGATGGCAGGAGCTGGGACCGAGCAACGGGAGCTCACCTGTCGTGGGGATTCAAACTGCCGACCTTCTGATCAGGAAGTCCTAGGCTCTGCAGTTTAACCTACAGTGCCACCCGCATCCCTTTCTCCTAAATATTTAACCCCAAAATAAACAAGCATACTCTTTGCTTTCAAACCAGTTGTACGACAGGCTATTGCAGAGTCAAGCAAAAGTACAGCATACAGCTATCCGGAGCAGGTCCTTGAGCAAGGTTGATGATGGTGGTTGCTGCGATACCTTGCATGAAAATGGGTATAAATCAGGGTATTTAGATCTGAAATGTTGAAGGCTGGGCCTATAATTATGATTGCATATTCATGCCTCTTTGATAAATGACACAGAGAAGGACTTTCTCTGCTGCTGTAAGGAGGGGAAAGAGAACTGGCTGCAATTGCCCATGTTTTGTTAGGCCCCAAATGGAAAACAAGTGAAGCCCCAACTAAAGAAGAGTGGCAACTTAAACTGATGGAATATGCGCAGCTTGCGGATCGAACTTATAGAATAAGAGAACAAGGAGAACATTTGCTTAAAGAAGATTGGAAAATGTTCATTGAATATATGGGGGGAATTGTGTACACTTGAAAATGTTGGCAGCATTAAGATAAATTCAAACAAGATTTGAGGGAAGTAATAATGGGAATACACAATGGTTTAGTTTATATAAAATATGCAGGGATTTATGCTACGGAAAATGAACTTTGGAAAGAGAAGGGAAATCACTGATATTTGAAGGTTGTTTAAAGGAATATTCTAAATTCTGAAACAGAAAAATTGTGTGTGTGTGTGTGTGTGTGTGTGTGTGTGTGTACCTTCTTTGTAGCATGATTTGAAAGGGAAGAGGGCTACCTTGCCATATACATAAATGCCATTTGCATCATAGTGCAAGGTATGATGTATCTTTTGGCAGAATGTGACCACCACACATACCCATTTCTATTTTGTTACTCTGAAATTCAGGGTACACATGGTTTATTTGGGCATTAACCATAACCCAAAGAAACTGATCTACGTTTTTAAAATGTCGTGTCTCAGGCGCCATCTTGTGGACATACTATACTGCATTTCTTTTTTAAAAAAAGGAAAGCGATGCTTCTGGGTCTGTCGCGGTAAAGATAACAAAGAGACTTGCGGCAATTATTGTGGTGGCAATCGGCCTCCTTGAACTAGCATCCACTTCTCGGGAATGATGAAATGGCATCTGTTGTTGGCAGTTGTGCACATGCATAAAAGGGGGGTTGTGGAGTCTATACATTGTGAGCAAATGCTTTGTATGGTGTCTGTGACAGCAGACAAAGGAAAGTGACTTCTTGTATCTGACAATGTGGGTTCTAGTCCATGCAAACTTATGCCTCAATGGTCTTTTTGTTCTTAAAAAAAATACCCTGATAACAAAGCCAAAGGCTGTCTATTATAATTACTACTACTATTAAAAAAAGAGGGACGCGGGTGGCGCTGTGGGTTAAACCACAGAGCCTAGGACTTGCCGATCAGAAGGTCAGCGGTTCGAATCCCCGTGACGGGGTGAGCTCCCGTTGCTTGGTCCCTGTTCCTGCCAACCTAGCAGTTCAAAAGCACATCAGAGTGCAAGTAGATAAATAGGTACTGCTCCGGCGGGAAGGTAAACGGCGTTTCCGTGCACTGCTCTGGTTTGCCAGAAAGCGGTTTAGTCATGCTGGCCACATGACCCGGAAGCTGTACGCCGGCTCCCTCGGCCAATAAAGCGAGATGAGAGCTGCAGCCCCAGAGTTGGCCACGACTGGACCTAATGGTCACGAGTCCCTTTACCTTTACCTTTAAAGGACCCCTGCACGGTTAAGCCTAGTCAAAGGTGACTATGGGGTGCGGCGCTCATCTCGCTTCAGGCCAAGGGAGCCGACGTTTGTCCACAGACAGCTTTCCGGGTCATGTGGCCAGCATAACTAAACTGCTTCTGGTGCAACAAAACACCATGACGGAAACCAGAACGCACAGACACACCATTTACCTTCCTGCTGCAGCAGTACCTATTGATCTACTTGCATTGGCGTGCTTTTGAACTGCTACGTTGTCAGGATTTGGGACACAGCAACAGGAGCTCACTCCGTCATGGGGATTCGAACCACCAACCTTCCGATCAGCAAGCCTAAGAGGTTCAGTGGTTTAGACCACAGCGCCACCAGCGCGCCACCAGTATTAATGTACAAGGCACTAATATTAGCCTTTTCTTTCAAGGTAGGAAAGACCTCTATTCTTCCTGCCTACACCATGAAGAGAAAAGTATACCCAGTATATCAGGGAAGTCAATACACTTTATGTAGCTTGTTTGCCAATTGGCCTAATTTCCTAAGCCACTAATGACACCTTTCCCAATTTCAAATATTATAACAATTGGCTTAACATTCATATAACACCAGAGAAGGGTAATTTAGTCATTTGGAGTTATTCTAGATTAAGGGCCTGCTGTTAGGATTTGGTATAGAAGGGGGAACCTTTTTTTTGATAATAAGATTTCCCACCACTCCAGCTCACAAAGGATTTGATTGACAAAGCAAAGGGTTCTGAGGATTCTCAAAATAGCTA